AATTTTTGTAATATTTCTATTGTAAATATGTTAACATTTTAATATTATTTTAAATGTAATTTACTTCTGACTCTTACTTCGCCCTTTTAATTTTTGTTGAATAATGCCATTAATTTTATCTTGGCTTACTTTCGCCATATCCTCTTCATTTAAAAATAAAATTAATACTTTATTTTTATCCTCTAATAAGACCGGGAAATCATGCAATTGCTGTAATCGCTGTTCCATCGCAAATCGCAAATATTCGTCCGTTCATTGTTATATTGTCCGGTACTCGTTGCTCGTTCCGAATTGCAAATTATGCGCATAGACCGCATGAACGCATCAGACATCAGACGCATCAACTGCCTCAGTTGCGGGATTCTCTAAACGTTTCGATGATTGTCGCTATCATTAACTAGCGACAGCCAGTGGCAGGACAATCCTAAAAGAAAGCGCGGCTCTCATTGGCTGTCGCTAGTTAACGATAACAACAATTATCATATATGTAAGTAGTATTACATATATGACAATTATCGAAAAAACGTTTAGAGAATCCTGAGTGGAGTGCTAAGAATTCAGTACGGTTAGTACTATCTGGGGAATTCAAGTCTCTCAAAGCGCGCAATAGTTAATTCGGAACGACTTTCTATGCAGTCTACGCGCTTCATGCGTAAACTCGGAACGCACCCTATATTTCCACCATGGCCACAGTATATCAGTAGCACAATGGCCTTAACCTCAACAGTCATAAATATTAACGCTTAATATCTTGGTTCGGAGGGCAGAGCGACACTTTTTATTGCCAGATTCGTTTGTTTCGTGCAAGAACGCGTCATGAAATATTTTTATCAAAATTTGAACTGAACGAGGTATTCTATACCTTTACCCCCCTCTCTCTCTCTCTCTCTCTCTCTCTCTCTCTCTCTCTCTCTCTCTCAGCGCTTCATGCGTAAACTCGGAACGCACCCTATATTTCCACCATGGCCACAGTATATCAGTAGCACAATGGCCTTAACCTCAACAGTCATAAATATTAACGCTTAATATTTTGGTTCGGAGGGCAGAGTGACACTTTTTATTGCCAGATTCGTTTGTTTCGTGCAAGAACGCGTCATGAAATATTTTTATAAAAATTTGAACTGAACGAGGTATTCTATACCTTTACCCCTCTCTCTCTCTCTCTCTCTCTCTCTCTCTCTCTCTCTCT